GGTCCTGTGGGTGGGTTTATCGGTCGGGTCTTCATGGATTTGGTTCAACTTCTTGTGATGATGGGGTCTCCTGCTTCTGAGGGACTCTGTCTTTCAGCTGGAGGGGAGCAGATCTGTGTCTTACCAGGCGGTGGGAGAGGAGGGTCCCTGGTGAGGGCTGCCCAGCGCCGTGGTGCGGCAGTGCTGGTGGCTGTGCCTGTCCTGAGTGGTCTCTGTCGCAGGTGGAGTCACCACCTTCGTGGCCCTCTACGACTATGAGTCTCGGACCGAAACAGACTTGTCCTTCAAGAAAGGCGAGCGCCTACAAATCGTCAACAACACGTGAGTGTCCCTGTCCCTGCAGCCCACCTGGGTGAGCTGCCACCTTTGCCTCTCCTGCGGAACCCCCGAGCCCACCCCCAACAGGGCCAGCCCTCCCTGGGGACGGGTGCTCAAAGAGGGATGTGCTGAAACTCGCACGGACGCAGTGACTTGTCCAAGGATGTGGGTGTTGGAGGCAATCGTTTGCCTGCTCCCACGTTGTCCCAGCCCTGCTGCTGGTCACCGCTGCCTTGCAGCCTTGTCACCAAGCCCCCTCCTCTGCTTGCTGGCCAGTCCGTGCCTTCCAACACGGGGCCACATCCCCACCGGTCCCCTGTCCCGGTCAGCGCTCAGCTCCCTCTCGTTTGCCTGGACACATCTCCTCAACTTTTCACGGGTGCTTTCCCCTGTGCTTGCATGGTGTCTCTGATCTCAGCTTCTCTCTTGGCTCTTTTTTTCTCTCCTCTGTGCCATGCTGTCGTTTAGGAGAAAAGTGGACGTCAGGTGTGTATTGCAGATTCTTACTATTATTGTTGTTAAACATCTTAACTTATAAAAGCCCATCTGCTGCCCACGTTAGGGTGAGGTTGGTGGAGCAGGGCTGGGAGGAGATGGTCGGTTGGGTTTGTCCTCGCTGAGTGACCAGGGCAGAGCAGGGAGCCCCTTCCCATGCTGAGGAACTCCATCCAGAGCTGTGTCCACAGCCAAGAGCACTGAACATGCCCCATTTTCCTTGTCTGTATCTGGCACCCCTCTGCGGTCCCTTTTCGGTGGGCTTTCTGCTCCTTCCTGGCCTTTTTTTGCATTTATTTTTGCATTTATTTATTTTGTTTTATTTTATTTTTATTTTCTGTGAGTGGCTCAGGGGACCTGGGCGCTTCCATAGGACTCTGGCTCCTGCTTGTTTGCTCTCCATCCTGGTCATAGCAGCACACCCATCTCTCGCTGTGTAGAGCAGGGCAGTATGACCAGCTGGAAGATGCTCCTAAACGTGATCCTGTATTAAGCCCACGTCTGGTCTGTCCTGACACACAGCACACGTGGTCTGCACCATCCTTCGGCTGCTGGAGGCCAGGCTGACGGAGCTGCTGTCCCCAGCACTGCCGTGGGGTCCCTGGGGTCCGCAGCTCCCGCTGGCCCCTCCGCTGACACCTTCCAACCTGGGCACCCGAAACAGCTTTGCAAAGTCAAAGGGTGGAAAGAGGAGGGAACATCCCGGGGCTGAGGTTTCTCCTACAATGGTTGGGCAGTGTTGTACAAACACGTTTTCAATTTGATCCTTGTTCTCCTTATTCCAACACTGTTTATTAGTGGTGATTCATTTAATCCATGAAGTTCAGGATGTGCAGGGCGTCAACACTGCAGGAAAAGCCTGAATTTGGGGGGTTTGGTGCTTCTTGCTTTCACAGCCTCAGCAGTGTACTCTCCCCAGGCTTGGCTTCTGGTTTGGGCTCTGCCCCCTGGGGACCCAGACTGGGCCCACATCTGAGGGTTTGTTCTTTATGCCATATATCACTTCTGAGGTTTCTGTACTTTTTTTTTTTTTCCTCTGCTGCTTTTTGTCAAAGGCTCAGTCAGAGGGAAGGGTCAGGGTGTGATGGATTCTGCAGTGTCCTGGGGAGCAAAAGGGCTTTTTTTTGGGTGATGCAGCCCATCAGCGGAGGGTGCTGGATGCGGCTGCCAACCTTGCTGGTGTCTGATGCGGTGGTGTGGATGAGACGTCTGCGGGGAGACAGGCAGTGGGGAGAGCTGCAGTTTGTGCAGTGCTCCAGGGGTGAAGCTCTCTTCTCGCTCAGTGCCCAGAAATGCTTGGACAGTCCGGGAGCTGCTCGGGCTGCCATATTTTTGGGAGAGCAAAAGGCAGGTGTGCAACGTCCCTTCCTTGGGCTCCCCAAGAGCTCCCTTGGGGCTGCGGGGAGGATGCTTGGGGTCAGCCTGGGAAGGGCTGGCAGGTCCTGGGCGCAGCAGGAGCCCACGACCATGGGGCCGACTGGCCACCAGCGGCTTTGCAGGGTGGCTG